AATCCGGGCCTATCTCATTCCAAAGGAACTCACCACTATGCTTGTTAGCAGACAAAGTCACCCCCGTGAGCAGCAAAGTAACCTTCCTGCGGAATGAACCCGAACTTAACAAAATCAGAATGCATAGCTAAAGAATCAATATCAAACATCACCCCTTCTAATAATGCATCCGGTTCCATTTGTCTATTAATCATACGAATCAACAATATTTTGTTTGCTTTGCATAAGTTCTATAGGACGAAATAAATATATCTAAAGAAAATCAATACAAATTAAGAAATTGAGGGTGTGGAAAACATTTTCCTACTTTTCTTAGTGCACTGTAGATGCCTTTACAGTTGCTACAACTAGGGCTCTGACCTATTTAGTCCGGCTTCTCTAATGCAATGATATCTGAAGTTAATCATGTATTTTTATGTGAAGAAAGTATTACATATGTGACCTGACAGACTATTATGTGTAATTGAATTTGAGGAAGGGCTTAATGTGGTGAACAAAATTTTGGAATGGTGTTCAGTATTCAGGCACAAATGGTGAATAAATGGTCCATCCATATGGATTTTCAGAACAAAAACAACTGAAAAAAAGCAGATATAAAAAGCAGATTTCCCCCCAAGAATTTGGCAACTTCATCCTCCTCCTCTTGCAGCTCCTTGTATTTGCATTTCTCCCCAAAACCCACTACTAAGCCTCAGTTTCACTCAAGTGTTCCTTCAGTTGGATTTACAAGCTTTCATAGTCTCCGATATTGTATTTCCATAAAGCATAGCACATTGGTGAATGCAAGATTAATTAATTGGAGGTGTGAGTTGAATGTTTAGGAACATGTGATTGATCAAGTACATATAGAAGGAAATCGTGTTCGTAGAACGTGTAAGTTGTACCAAGAAATCAGATTGTAATATCAAAGAGTTCATTCAACTAAGTCGTTGTGTGGGAGCTCTATGCAGCCCTTGGAATGTTAATCTCCAGAGTTTCGTTCGTAGAATGCTTCTGCCCTACTTTTTCTAATGTTTCCCTTTGCTTTCACATGAATATACAAATTTCCAACACTTTTGCTGATATTACTTCTCCTTTTAAATGAATTGTTAATTTCTTGTATGTATAAGAATATGAACCTCCTAGTCGTATAAATTGGATTTTCCACTTCATAATCCTCTTCATAATTCGACATTTTTCGTCAGGCAAATTCCGCTGAAATGAGTTCAAAACTTGCAAAACTTGGGTTGGCAGATGTTCTCGCTTATGGTTTGTTTGATGCGGTTACGTATACCACCTTTTTTGTCCTTGCATTTCTTGGGTACAAGAAAAGTACTAGGAACAATCCAGCAGCTAATATGAAGGCACTTTTAGGGGTAGCATATGCTCAATTTTCTTTTGAACTCTTTTATGAATTTCATCTGGATGGGAATGGTTAGGTGACATTACTTGTTACACCAGAAAAGGTTTGGCTTTGGTATAAAAGCTTAACTGCAAAAACATATTTGAAAGGTTTCGTTAAGCTACTGAGAAAGTTGGGGAACGGTCAAACGTCTTAGGTTGAGATTACATATACAAGGGTGTTACGGTTACATAATGAGTTGTTAATGACTACATACACATTGAGAATTTAGCTTATGCCTTCGTGTCCGATGAGGGAGTGGGTTTTTTTTTTTTTTTTTTTTCTTTCTATTTTTAGTGGTTTTAGTGAGTAAGAAGTAACGTGAGAAGGAAATCGATCAATTTTCAAATTTTTGCACTTTGCTTGTTCTTATAAGAAGGAAATCGATCAGTTGTTCACATTTTATCTTCCAACTCTCTACTTTGCAATTATATTTTGGTGTCATTCCATTTTAATCTTAGTTCCTGTTGGAAGACTATAAATAAATTCGAAAGGATGTGTGTACCTTTTATGCAGAAACTTGAATCTCAACACGCTCCTACAAACACAAACAACTGATCTAACCCTCCGTGCACGTCTAGAACCTTCCTGGTCGTCGGGTTGGCTACGGTTTGTCGAGTTGCCCTTTGGTTTTTGCCTCCCAAGACCTAGAGCTGAAAGTGATAGCTCTAAAGACCTAACTAGAATATTTGAACAGTGAAAAAGTTTGTGTTTCTTATATTTTCTCTCTTCCCCAAAACCTCCTTATATAGTGGTTAGGAAGAGTGCACAAAGACTGAAAAACCCATGAAAATCCCAAGTATATTCTAATATGAATATCTCTTGATTTTCATCTAATTATCACACAAATAATTAGGAGGTTAATATCCTCATGTGGGTGAAGTATCATTTGATATTTATTTATCCCATAAGATAAATTCTACAGTTCCATTCACATGAAGACATTTGAAGAACCTAACGTAAAACATCCGTACAAGCAAAACGCAGCTTAGCAACGCCAAGAAAATCATCTACGAGAGTTGATCCGATCCAGGCAGGCCGCATGTGGGGTTATTGAAGACAAAGTTGCCGAAATCCATGTTAAAACATCAATGTGGCAACTGATGAGCAACACAATTCCACTCCCTCATAACATGCTTCATGCTTCAGCTCAGCTCACATTTAACCAATTGACTCATCAATGTTTTGCATCTGCTCACAATTGTATCAAGTATCAAGAGGATAATAGTTATCAACCGGATTTCGTTATAACAAAGTGACAGCAATCACCTCTGTCAATAAAACCTCCTTGTCCCAAATTGGCAGAGAACTCTACCCGCACCAATCTTGAACCATCAACATTAAGCTTATACCAATGAATATCAGGAGGTTCCCAAGCAATGGAAGCAGCATTCTCTTAGGTTTATGGGGGAGAACCAACTCAAGCTTTCACCCAGCTCTCGACTTTTTGCATGTTTACTAACAAGCATGGAATCTAAAGTGCTAGTTGATTCGTAACTTAATGCTTGAAAATCAGGAATCAAATCAAAATGTTTATTTTTTATTGATAACATATTTGCAAATTTGGTTTAAAAATTTGGTTGCCTGATATTATCCTAATATAAATATCTTTTGACAAATAAAAAATACATGCAAAGATAATTTTGGGTGGTGATATCCACACATCCATTTTTACCTTTCACACACCTCTATTATTTCCTAGCTGTCGATAAATTGAAATAGTCAAATGACATAAATTCATAAATGATAAAGTGATGTGTGAGAAATAAAAATAAGTGCATGAAGGGGCCACAAAATTAAACAGATACTAAAAAAATACCACAACGCACACGGTCAGTCGGTACATTTCAGTTGCAAATGAAAAATACAAACACTGGGATTTGCTCTCTCTATCGCTGAGAGATTCTTTGTGATCGATGACAATGGCGGACAGTAGCTGTTATGAACTTAGGATTTAGTGATTGGCTTAATCACTATTAGGAGTTTAATATTGAATTTGTTAGGCTTAGTGAGGTCAGATAGAAATGCCAATTGGCATTAAAAGAGTAAAGTCGCTGAGCTCTTGAATTGTAGCATATCAGAATTTACAAGAGAAATACAAACACAAAAAAAAATACCGGAGGTTTTAATGAAAAGCCTACGGTATTATTTATTTTAACAAAAATTCATATTTTTACCCTAAAATGTTAAACCTACACTATTTATTTTACCATTTATTTTGTCGTTAAAACTTAAAATTTTCGAGCGGTTTTCATTAGTTTCCTAAAAATATATTGGAGCCCTGCTCCCTTCTACTTCATCCTCTCCGTTTGCCATTACTATTGCTGCTTGCAGGTTGAATAGGTATCAACCATCTCGTTCCTGGTTCCCTCATTCGTTCCGCGTTAGACTCCCTTGAAGCTTCGATGAGCGCTGATCTCCGTGCAGCTCTGGATTCTACCCTCGCAGACATCTGCAAGGCTGTGGATTCTAAACTCGCAGAAATCCGCCGTGAATTTGGTCTGTTACACCATGACTTGGCTCTCGGTGCTGGGGAAGGTTCCTATTCAGCCCCAATGTTTTCCGATGCCGCTGCATCCATCGATCTCGGTCACAAAACACTTCAAAGAGTTGGACAGCCCGACGGAAACGGCAGCTCACTGCGAATCTCCTCGATAATACCCATCGATTCCGTTCTGCCGTTGCTCTCTTCTTCACCATTATTGAAAGCAAAGGCAATTTCTCCTGTCAAGGCACATTTGAAAGATTCGTTGGCATCGACAATTCATACCAGTGTGCAGGGTTTTGTTTCTCATCTGAGGAACACAGAAACCACCAAACTTGCAGTCCCCTTTCCACTTGCAGACCAACACGTCAGTGATTCCATCAACCTTGCGGAGTATAGAGTTTACAGGAGCTTCAACTCAGGGATTATATGCCTCTGTATGCTACCCTCAACGCATACGAACACCACGAAGCGTCGACATGAGGTATTGACATCCTTGCTTTCCAATTTTACAAATCGGAAGTACAAATGGTATTGGATTTTGCAGTTTATTCTGGCATATTATACTGGTGTTATTGTGATCATGTATGAAGACTTCTTGACTGATAAACGTGGATGGGTTAATTGGTATCTTGTGGGAAAATTTGTGAAGAAAGATTTTTATGCATTGGAACTGTTTGAGAAAATGTCTGAGAACGGTAGTGTAGACAAAATGGAAATATCTCACTGGAGAGACCTCTCTAGTTTCGAGATCACTAATTATATCTGGAATCCCTTTGGTTGCACAATTATTGTTGAGCTTTTAGTAAGTACATTTGAAGGAATCTCTCCTACTTTTCACCAATATGCTACAAGTAGACCACAAATTGGGAATGAGCTTTCCCAATTTAAAAATGTGGAGTTCGATCATGTTGTGAAGGAAATTGAGAATGTGGTTGTCAGATGGATATCACTACCCACTGCTTCAATCTTAATTCTCTTGCTTGAAGAAATGACTACGAGACGTCTTTACGATTTGGTGCCAGTTTCTTCGGCCACCAATGTATATTTGACAAATGAAATTAGCAAGATGTCAGGCTCAGGAATTTTTCCTGCCTTACAAACCCAGTGCTGTCTTAGGAAATTGCTTGCTACATGGTTATTGAACTTGGATGGATTATGATCAAAGGCTTTGCTGATGAAGAGATATATGTTCAGTTGCATGAGAGTGTAAGAGGGTGTGGTGTATATCTTGTGCAACTCACATGTCCTCCTGCAAATGAAAATTTTATGGAGCTTCTTGTCATGAGTGGTCTTTGTGGGCTGATTGTGGGTAGGAGGATCCATGAGTATATGTTGAAGGTGGGATTAACGAGGAATTCCCAGGTTACGAATGCACAGCTAGATCTTTATGCAAAGAGTGAAGACAATATCATTATTGGGATATCTTATAATGCCATAAAGATAGCAATAAAGCATTGGATCAATTTTGGTACACCACCACGTACTACTGTCAAGAGCTATATTTCCTCGACTAATCTTGAGGTGTGTTTGTCAGTGCCATTTTCCCATGCCTGGGTATACTTGAAGACCATATATGCTTTGTTGAACCTAAACTTGTTAAGGTCTTGCAATGTTAATAATGTCATGACTATTCTAGGCTTTGCTTATACTTACAGCTTAGTAAATTTCCTCATTTTGGGAACATCTTTCTATTCTACAGTTGAGACCTCCTTAGTGCTTTCAAGTTGTGTGAGGCAACCAAAATTTATTGTGCACTGGTGGGTATCCTTCAGCAAGACCAATGACTCTGAAGGTGACAGAACAACAAATACATTGAAAAGAGGGAATGAATGCACTAAGGGTACCTATTTGGATTTAGCATGCTCTCTCAAAGGTCACCTAGAAAGCAATTTTGGTGCTTTGGCTATTGATTTACATGTTGATTTCTCTCTGTTGTTCACTAGTAAATTTGATTTTTGGCCTGTTTGGGATCCGGGAGATACATCGGCTAAAGGTATCAAGCTAATACTCTATTTTCAGTACAAGGATAGCAAGCGAATGGGTGCTTTCCGAAGGGAACTACCATTGAAAAGTTTTGATGTTGAACAGAGGGTAGTGGTTGTAGTTGAATTGCAAACATGCCTCTTCACAAGTGTGGCGCTGCAAGTTCTTATGCTTCATAATTGATGGTCTTATGCTTCTTCCTTAGCTCTCAAAGTTGAGCCTTCCACCACCTTGCTACTGAGCACTAAGGAAGTTCTAGTGCAGAAGCTTTCCTCACAAGCAGTATTGGCTCACCTGAATTCTCACCTTCCTTCTAAGAACAACAAATTCACACTTCGGTTGCAAGGCTCCTTAATTGAATTTCACTGCAAACAGTTCCAGATTTCAATTGCTAATCCTAACCTTGAGGACAAGGTTGTTTTTCAAGGGAAGGGCAATGTTATGAACTTAGGATTTAGTGATTGGCTTAATCACTATTAGGAGTTTAATATTGGATTTGTTAGGCTTATTGCTGTTATTTAGTAAAGTGTGTTAGAAATGCCAGTTGGCATTAAAAGTGTAAAGTCTATAAAAGGAGCTGAGCTCTTGAATTGTAGGAGATCAGAATTTACAAGAGAAATACAAACACAAAAAAATATATTGGAGCCCTGCTCCCTTCTACTTCATCTTCTCCGTTTGCCATTACTATTGCTGCTTGCAAGTCGTCTGCAAATGCACAACAGCGAGGAGGAGCTTCTGCTTCAGAGAAGTCAGTTTCAATGACAAGCCCGACCACCGAAACCTCCTCCGAAATGTTTCGACCCTTTCCGTTTTTTAAAAAAGGCCTCTTCACTTGCTGCAGCCCATTGCTTGCCGGAAACAGTATTCTCTGGTTTATCTCACACAATTCCGTTTTCTTTTGAGTTGCACGGTCTGTTTGGTTCCTGAGAAAACGCAGGAAAATTTATAAAATTTTTGAGCTTCTGTAGAGTTTACTGAAGTGAATACTTGACTAGGTTCAGTTGGGTTGCTGATAAATTCAAAACAATGAAATTTATACGTGAAAGCTTTTAATCGATTTGACAAGAAGTTTCTGAGCTAGTTTATTGCTTTTGAATGTTCAAATTGGATGGTATAAATGTGTCTGTGTGATAATTAGATGCTTTGGTGCTTGCCATCTTCCCGAGATAAGAGAATTCCCATATATGTGGTGATGCCTGTCGATGCCTTTTGCAGTGATGGTATGGGGCGTCCAAGGATTAGGACGTAAGTTTTATTATGACTTTCTGTTGATGAGACTGTGATGCATTTTCATTCTTAATTTAATTTTTATACTCTTTAAACACCGGAGTCTGATTAGCTACAAGGTTGCAGCTAACTATTTTGATCTCTTCGCAAATCATGTTATATAAACGTATGTTTCAACATGTGTCAAAAATTTTTTATTTTTAATTCAGTTTCCTTTCAAGTGAGATAGAAACTCCTTACATGTTGCTCGATTTATTGTTGTTTCAGAATCAAGGCCTTAACTGTAGCTCTAGAAGCTCTCAAGTTGGTAGGTGTCCACGGAATCGTAGAGCGTAGAGCATTTGGTGGGGAATCGTAGAGTGTTTCTCTCCTCTTGCATATGATTGGTCTCTATATGAAGAGATTTTCAAACTGATTTCTGACTCAGGTTAGGTTTGAAGTTGCATGTTGCCATGTCTTTTCACTCAAACGTTAACTCTTCTTCTAGCAGAAAAGGGGGTGTAACTCTTCCACTTTGGATCATAGAGGTTTGTCTTCTTTGACACTTTGAAATCCCATTTGAAGTTATTAGTCTAGTACAATGCACATGGCTGTATTGGAACGCTTAACCCATTTGCATGACTAGAGATAATATCAATGTTTCTTCAGTTTCGTGCTCTGCAACATGCTATGGTATTGTGTTCCCCATTAGCATACTTGATTTTAGCTTTGATGTGCTTAAAAAGTTTATCAATGCAAAGGGATGTGAAATAAAAACTATAGTTTGGCCTTCATGACACACCTATCAGTTTGAATCTTGAATCTAGATAAAGAAGTTGACCTCTTGTTTTTTTCCTCCCAGATTGGTGATCAGAATAAGCATATATATTATTGGGACCAAAATGGGTTTTCCAATGATGATTGTCTTACACTGGGAGTTGACCATGTTCCTCTCTTTTGCGGACGGACAGCCCTCCATTGTTATGAAGATTTCATGTCAAGTTTTGCTAAGAAATTTGAATTCTTAATCGGAACTGTAATAGAAGAAATTAGTGTTGGTCTTGGTCCTTCTGGTGAACATAGGTATGTTACAGTTACACTAGAAGTACGAGTATGAAGCCATTCCAATGATTTCTTATGCAACATTGTTACATTGCTCACACAGATATCCTGCACATCCTTTTGGTGATGGTAGATGGAAGTTTACTGGTATCGGTGAATTCCAGTGCTATGAGAAGTACATGTACGTTAAAAATCTTTCATTCCTCTGATGGAAATTTAGTTGCTATTGAATTTTTACTATTTACAACCTTGTTCCTTTTAGGATGGGTGACCTAAAGATGGCTGCACGCAAGGAAGGAAAACCTCAGTGGGAAGAGAAGGGACCACAAAAGGCTGGCTGTTACAACAGTCTCCCATCTGAAGTTCCTTTCTTTGGAGAGGGTGAGGAAAACTTTCTTTCTGATTATGGGTGTTTTTTCCTTGAATGAAACTGATGAAAGCAGCTTGCTTAATTATTTCCCATGAAAAATTTCTGCATAGCTAAAGCCTAGTGTAAGTTGCATGACATAATTGCTTTTATTGTTCTGTTCATGCACATTTCATCCTCGAACTACCACTTAGAATAAAATGCAAATGCTGAATTGAAGTTGTGTTTCTTTAGCCATGCAACATTTCTGTGTAGGTGCATGTAAATAGTATGGGCCTGCAATATATATTTTCAATCTTTACTGGAACTTTTCTTATAACGAACTCTATTTGCTTCTAGGGGTTGTACTTGCAGACTGTTTGCTACTTAAATCTTAACTACTCTTATGCAACATGATTAAAAAGTAGATATGTTTTAATGATTTAATATGAAGTCATGACAAGGGAATGGGTTTTTAAGAAACTGCTGCACTAAGTTAATGCAATTTGATTAAGAATGAAAATGCATTGATGCTTGTCTTCTAGAGAGAAAAAAAATCAACATAGGACGTACTGGTTAGTAAACTAAGGACAATTATGGAGTATAAGTGGAAAATTAAATTATATTATGGTTCTTTATCATGCAATACTTGGCATTACATGATTAAACATATTGGAAAACACTATGGAGCTTAGGAGATCTGACATTGGCTTGACTCATCGTAGGAATGGTACAGTGGTAGGTTGCTCCATCATGTAGATGATATTCTTGCAAAGGCAGCTAAAATTCTGAAGATATCAAGAAAACAAGCAAACTTAAATTGTATTGGCGGCTAAAATTGGTGGAATATATTGTGGTATCAGGCGATAGCACACCCTGCTGAACTTACAGCAGGATACTACAACACTGCTATTAGAGATGGTTATGATCCTGTTGCTTCACTTTTGTCTCGTCATGGAGCTGCTTTGCATGTTCCGTAAGATTCTAGGTTTTAAGAATGAATGATAAGATCTTTAGGGCTGAAAATTGGAGTAACTTCGTTCCTTTAGTTAAAGAGATGAGCACAAATTGGTAAAACAGCCAAAAGACCCAACTTACCGGTAAGTTTATTGAACTACCTAGAGGAGCAGCCTCACTGCCTTGAGCTGGAATAACTTCCTGATATTTTGACTGAAATAACCTTGTGTTCCTATGACATGCGTTCTTGAGCTGGAAGTGTAAATTTTTGAAATGGATTTGGTTTACTACCAAATATGGGAAGAATAATTGGAATTGCAATTTTATTACTACTAGTCTCATTGCATTGAAAAATCCAGGTACGACATTTCAATTTTAGGAATATCGTCATATTCTCATATAGAAAACAACAATAAGAAAATGGAACCGAAAATATAGAGAACAAAAAGAACTAAGAGTTTATTCCTCCACAGTCCTTCAAATACTTAGTCTTGATTTTGGTGAGTGTGATTGCGGCATCTTTCATGTTAATCCTCTCTCCCGGCAATGCTGCAGAGCAAGCTAAAGCTAATCTCATAACAGATGACAAGCAATCCCTCCTGCTCACGAAATCACCATCTTCCTCCACCCCAAGTATATCGGCATCCACAACTTCACGTATTGCAGCATCTGGAAATAATGAATCTGCAATCCATTGCTTTAAATCCATTTCCCCAACAACTTCACGTATTGCAGCATCTGGAAATAATGAATCTGCAATCCATTGCTTTAAATCCATTTCCCCAACAAACATCTCGTCTGTTGGCTTCCTTTTTGTGAATGTCTCCATGAGTACAATACCAAAACTATACACATCCCCTCTAGTCGAAACGCTACCTTCCATCCCATACTCTACAAAATTTGTATGTGAATTTAGTTATACATGATAAAAAGAAAATTATAACTCCTAATAAGGCTAGCATATACAAAATTGAGAAAATACATCACCTGGAGCCATATATCCAACTGTGGCTAGGGTCATGGTTTCTGTCATCGAATCTCCACCGCCAATGAGTCTTGCAATGCCAAAATCAGCAACATGTGCAACCATATCATCATCTAGTAGTATATTGCTTGGTTTCACATCACAATGAACGATAGGTATCGAGTAACCGTGATGAAGATATTCTAGTGCCAATGCAACATCTTTCATTATGTCTAACCTCTGCAGGATAGTCATGGAGCGGTTTGGAGAATACAACCAGTTTTCGAGGCTTCCATTAGGCATCAATTGAAGTATCAGGGCTTTGAAATCAAGTTCATCGCAGCAACTTACGATTTTAATAAGATTCCGGTGACGGATATTGCTTAGCATTTCACATTCCTTATCAAAACTCTTGAATGCCCCTTCTAGCTGTAAATTGAAAACCTTGACGGCGATGTCTATCCTGTCTGAAAGTGTTCCTCTGTATACTGAGCCAAAACCCCCCGTGCCTAGTAAGTTACTCTCATGAAATCCATTTGTTGCCCTTACAAGTTCTAGGCACGAAACTCTTCTCCAAAGAAATTGATGTAGCGAGGCAATTTCTTGTACAACTTCGACATTCCTTTTCTTACGTAGTATCAGAATCAATGCAGTGGCTGCTAGGAGTATTACTGATATGACCCCTGAGATGATATATTTAGCTTTCCTCCAATTTGGCTTAACTTTTGTTCTATTTTTGCACAGTGGAACATGGAGTCGAGAAGCACAGCAGAGTGCACCGTTTGAAATACAAGAGTGCTTCCAATGACTTTGGGATCTCTCCGGATGGATTGTTTTTGGACAAATCCAAGAATTCTAGGCTTAGCAAGGTTTTAAATGAACTGGGAATAGGGCCTTCTAAATAATTGTTTGCCAAGGACAAATTAATCATGTTTTGAAGACCACCAATGCTACAGGGAATGTTTCCGGAGAAATGGTTATTTGATAAATCCATATCCACCACAGCTTTCAACTTTCCGATGTCTTCTGAGAGTGGTCCAACTAGAGAATTGGAAGACAAGTCTAGGTGCAATATATACTTGAGTTCCCACAAGGAAGATGGTATTTTAGAAGTTAACAAATTGGACCATAACGATAGACTTCTTAGAGCTACTACCAAAGTACCAAAGCAAGAAGGAATAGAACCAGAGAGCCGATTACCACTCAAACGTAACTCTGCTAGGTATTTTAGTTGACAGAGTTTGTAAGGGATATGTCCTTGCAGTTGGTTATCATTCAAATACAAACCTTGGAGATTTTGTAGCCTTTGTATTGAAGTTGGAATTGCTCCACTCAACTGATTGTTTCCCAGGTTTAATGATATCAAGCTGCTCAAGTTGCCAATATCAACTGGAATGTTACCCTTAATGTTGGAAAATCAACAGTTAAGAGTGACGTAGATAGATTCCCGCGAGAAGCTGGAATTGTGGTGTTTAGTGGATTATCTCCCAAACCTAATATTATCAAATTTCTAAGATTAAACAAGCAAGAGAGGGTGCTTGCTGCTTGTGGAGTAGAAGCATCAATCGTCAAATTATTCGAGTACAATTTAAGTTTCTCGAGGTTTTTCAAGGAACAGGGTGTGATAGGAAGAAACCTGGTAAATGAGTTTTCGCTCATTTCTAAATCCCGGAGCTTGGAAGCATTGAAGATGGCTACATGCACGGAAGGAAAGCCCTAGTGGGGAGCGAAGGGACCACAAAACGCTGGCTGTTACAACAGTCTCCCATCTGAACTTCCTTTCTTTGAAGAGGGAGAGGAAAGCATTCTTTTTTATTTTGGGTGTTTTTTCCTTGTATGAAACTGATGGAAGCAGCTTGCTTTATTATTTCCCATGAAACATTTCTGCATAACTGAAGCCTAGTGTAAATTGCATGAAATCATTGTTTGTATTTCATCCTCGAACTACCACATTGTTTCTTTAGCCAGGAAACACTTGTGTAGGTGCCTATAAATAACATGGGCCTGCAATATATATTTTCAATCTTTAGTGGAACTTTTCTTATAATGTTATTGGAAAACAATGTGGAGCTTAGGAGATCTGACAGTGGCTTGACTTGTTGTAGGAATGGTACAGTGGTCGGTTGCTTCATCGTGCATATGATATTCTTACAAAGGCAGCTAACATTCTGAAGAAATATCAAGAATAGAAGCAAACTTCTATTCTATTGGCAGCTCAAATTGGTGGTATCAGACGAGAACACACCCTGCTGAACTTACAACTTGATACTACAACAGTGCTGTTAGAGATGGTTATGATCCTGTTGCTTCAATTTTGTCTTGTCATGGAGCTGCTTTGCATGTTTCGTCAGATTCCAAGTTTTAAGGTTTTGACTGGAATTTTGTTCATCGTCCAACCTGATAATTAGGGCTGCTTACACATTCGCTTGATTTCAAATGTATCTATTTCACATACTAAATATTTTATTGCAGTTGCTTACAAATGATGGATGGTGATAACTCAGCATCCTATCCTTGCAGTCCAAAAGGATTACCACAACGGGTACGGGGCCTGTTAATAATGCTTCCTTAGCTTGTTGCTTTGTTGGTACTTTTTTTTAACTTACTTTAGAAATTTTATCTGTATAATTCAAGCTTTTAAGTTAGGTAGGAGTAGCCCATGCAGCTGTGCTTGGCACAGCAGGTCGTTCAGGGTCTCTAGGTTCAACATGGGCTTGGAACGAGCCAATATGAGCTTTTTCAGTATTACAGATATTGGGTATTATTGATCTGCTTTTTAGGCTTCTTTTAGTATCTTATAATTCATTCTAAGGTAAATATTTAGTTTTAATTGGGTTGTCTTGCCCAGTTAATAAAGAAGAAACATATGACAAGTATGTTTCTGTTTTATTATGACTTTCTGTTGATGAGGCTATGATGCATTTTCATTCTTAATTGAATTGTTGATGAGGCTATGAGGCTATGATGCTTTGTTTCTTGGGTATGTATCATATTATACAATTTCAATGTAGTTTAACATGATTCGATTTGCACCAGATATGGATTGTTTCAAAGAAAATGGTACATTTGATAGGGAGAAATACCAATGAAGGATTTGACAGGGTAAGTTCTTCCTTTGCTCAAGAACAAAAGCAAATTTCAGCTACCATTTATTTCTATTAGACATATATTGGATATTGCAAATGTCTTATAACTAGAAACACATGGCTTCTGATAGCGTTAATTAAACACCTCTTCTTTTGCCCATTTTGTGTTGCGTGTTCACGCGTCTGCTTTTCTCTTGCACGTTGGTTTATGGCAATTACATGCTAACTATTACCATTCCCAGGCCGAAGCTGTAAGATCATTTACATATTTCAGAATGAATGATAAGATCTTTAGGGCTGAAAAATGGAGTAACTTCGTTCCTTTTGGTAAAAAGATGAGCACAAATTGGTGAAGCAGCCAAAAAACCCAACTTAAATAGTAAATTTATTGATCTAGAGTAGCAGCCTCACTGCCCTATAATTTTTTGTCAAGGGCATGTGTAGAAGTTCATAAGTTTGTCACTTCCTCATATATTGACTGAAATAACATTGTGCTCCCATGACCTGCGTTCTTGACCTGGAAGTGTAAATTTTTGAAACGGATTTGGTTGGTCGTAGAAACTGAATGCTTTATACCACCAAAATATAGGAAGAATAACTGGAATTGCAATCTTGGTATTACTGGTCTCATTGCCTTGTCAAATACAGGTACATCAATTCAATTTTAGGAATATCGTCATATTTTCATATCCGTCACTATAAGAAAATAATGTAGTTTTTGAAGATAAAAAACAACAATAAGAAAATGGATCCGAAAATATAGAGAACAAAGAACTAAGAATTCACTCTTCCAGAATCCTTCAAATACTTGGCCTTGATTTTATTGAGTGTGACTACAACATCTTTCATGTTAATCCTTTCTTCCGGAAATGCTGCAGAGCAAGCTAAAGCTAATCTCATAACGGATGATAAGCAATCCCTCCTGCTCACGAAATCACCATCTTCCTCCATCCCAAGTATATCGGCATCCACAACTTCATCTATAGCAGCATTTGGAAATAATGAATTTGCAATCCATTGCCTTAAATTCATTTCCTCAACAAACATCTCATCCGTTGGCTTCCTTTTTGTGAATGTCTCCATGAGTACAATACCAAAACTATACACATCCCCTCTCATCGAAACGATTCCTTCCAACCCAAACTCTGCAAAATTTGTATGTGAATTTAGTTATATATGATAAAAAGAAAATTATAACTCCCAATAAGACCAACATATACAAGATTAAAAAAAATACATCACCTGGAGCCATATATCCAACTGTGGCTAGGGTCATGGTTTCCGTCATCGAATCTCCACCGCCGATGAGTCTTGCAATGCCAAAATCAGCAACATGTGCAACCATATCATCATCTAGTAGTATATTGCTTGGTTTCACATCACAATGAACGATAGGTATCGAGTAACCATGATGAAGATATTCTAGTGCCAATGCAACATCTCTCATTATGTCCAACCTCTGCAGGATATTCATGGAGCGGTTTGGAGAATACAACCAGTTTTCGAGGCTTCCATTAGGCATCAATTGAAGTATCAGGGCTTTGAAATCAAGTTCATCGCAGCAACTTATGATTTTAATAAGATTCCGGTGACGGATTTTGCTTAGCATTTCACATTCCTTATCAAAACTCTTGAATGCCCCTTCTAGCTGTAAATTGAATACCTTGACGGCGATATCTATCCCATCTGAAAGTGTTCCTCTGTATACTGAGCTAAAACCCCCTGTGCCAAGTAAGTTAGTCTCATGAAATCCATTTGTCGCCTTTACAAGTTCTAGGCGCGAAACTCTTCTCCAAAGAACTTGATGTAGCGAGGCAGTTACTTCAACATTCCTTTTCCTGCATAGTATCAGAATCAATGCAGCAGCCGCCAGGAGTATTACTGACAAGACCCCTGAGATGATATATTTAGTTTTCCTCCAATTTGGCTTAACTTCTGTTTTATATTTGCACAACGGAACATGAAGTCGGGAAGCACCGCAGAGCGCACCATTTGGTACAAATGAATCAGCAGAGAAGTTTTCGAAAGGCCCGCCTGTTGGAATTTCTCCTTGGAGTTTGTTGAAAGACAAATTCAAATGCTTGAGATACGAGAGTGCTTCCAATGACTTCGGGATCACTCCAGATAGATTGTTTTTGGACAAATCCAACGATTCTAGGCTTAGCAAGGTTTCAAATGAACTGGGAATAGGGCCTTCTAAATAATTGTTTGCCAAGGAGAAATTAATCATATTCTGAAGACCCCCAATGCTACTGGGAATGTTTCCGGAGAAATGGTTATTTGATAAATCCATATCCGCCACATCTTTCAACTTTTCGATGTCTTCTGAGAGTGGTCCAACTAGAGAATTGGATGACAAGTTTAGGTGCAATATATACTTGAGTTCCCACAACAAAGATGGTATTTTAGAAGTTAACAAATTGGACCCTAACGATAAATATCTTAGAGCTACTGCCAAAGTACCCAAGCAGGAAGGAATAGAACCAGAGAGCCAATTACCATCCAAATGTAACTCGGCTAGGTTGTTTAGTTGACAGAGTTCATACGGGATATGTCCTCCCAGTTTGTTATCATACAAATACAAACCTTGGAGATTTTTTAGCCTTTGTATTGAAGTTGGAATTGCTCCACTCAACTGGTTGTTTCCCAGGTTTAATGATATCAAGCTGCTCAAGTTGCCAATATCATCTGGAATGTTACCCCTAATGTTGGAATTGCTTAAATCAACATATTGGAGTGACGCAGAGAGATTCCCTCGAAAAGCTGGTATCGTGGTGTTTAGCGGATTACCTCCCAAGGATAATGTTGTCAAATTTCTAAGATTAAACAAGCAAGAAAGAGTGCTTACTACTTGTGGTGCAAAAGCATCAATAGTCAAACTATTCAAGTGCAAGAAAAGACGCTCAAGGTTTTTCAAGGAACAGAGCGTGTTAGGAAGAAACCCGGTAAATGAGTTTTCACTCATGTCTAGCTCCCTGAGCTTGGAAGCATTGGAGAGGTTAGGGAGTAGTTCGGACACGAGGTTATTTCTGGCTACATTAAGGAATTCTAGGTTTGGAGCGTTAAGACCTATGTCTGCTGGGAGGCTACCTGAGAGCTGATTAAAAGAAAGCCCTATTAGGCTTATCATGGAGAGATTGAAGAGTTTGGATGGGATGACGCCACTGAGATTATTAAAATACAGCGACAATGTCTCTAACTGCGGAAGATCACCAATCTCATTTGGTATTGTACCTGTCACAATTTCAGCACGTTTGTATCAAATTTTTAACTTCAGTTTAATTAAAAACTAAATACGAAATGATTATCAAACAATTCCGAATTTACTACCTATTAAATTATTGTCACTAAGACCAATCAGGGTTAAGTAGGTCAAATTGCCAAGACTTTTGGGTATGCTTCCATGGAAATTGTTATACACTAATGAGATTTTACGAAGCTCTTTGCATTGCCATAGCTTGGAGGGAATCAGACCATCAAGTTGGTTTTGACCCAAATTAAGCTGTCGAATATTCGGAAGATGCTCACATATATTGTCTGGAAGACTGCCACTCAAGTTGTTTCCATATAGAGTCAAATGAGTCAAAGAAGATATGTTGAGGACAGGCACAAGAGCAGAGCCTTTTAGGGCATTGTACTGCACATACAACTCCTCCAGCTGACCTAAACTGCCCATCTCGTTCGGTAGTTCTATAAATCAATCCGTATATATTGTTAAAATCATGTAAACATATATAAGAGTAGCTTCTTATTGGGAATCCCGTTCTACCGTAGCAACTCACTATGTAGGTTCTCCTTTTGCTCCAGAATACGAGACTTACTCAGTAAATATATGATCCCTATGATAGTCCTCTCATTTCATTTTTGCTAAAGTGGAACGAGATTCCTACTAAGAAGGAGCTCATATCTAAACTACCTAGTACCTCTCAACCAAAACTACATGAAATTACAATTTTAACCCTCACATCAAAACTGCACAAATAAAAAAAATATGGGCAATTTAGTAATGACATTAACATAAATTTTGTTGTTATTTAAAGCAACCTCAGGTCACCATAGCATGCCCTATTTAAAAATTAAAAATAAAATAAAATAGTAAATAAAAAACATGCCTACTTTAGAAGAAACTGATCATCTTTGTCCCAATTTTTATAAGGGAGTTTTAACGAAAAGCTCATAGTACTGTTCACTTTAACGAAAAACCATATTTTTACACTAAAAAGTCAATCCTAGTAATATTCACTTTACCCTTTATTTTGTCCTTATCCTTAAAACTCAAAGTTTTTAAACCCTTTTCATTAGTTTTCTGTTTTTATAATTTATTTATTTTTTTAGAATTTTAAAAACTAATCACACTTCGTGGTAAAAAAAACAAAATTAAATGAAATTATTCACACATACTATCTGCGAGTATACATGTAACAAAACCTAAGTCATACAGTATACCTTCGAACTTGTTGACGTCAAGGTATATGCCCTTCACCTTTGTTAAGTTGCCTATTTCTCTGGGTAAGCTACCTGTTAAATATATGCATGCATGCCAACAAAAAAGAAGGAAAAAAGATCCAAAATAGATGATTGTTATACATCTTATATATAGATGTTAAAATGTGACAAAGATGTTAAAATGTAATGGTGAAGCAAGCAATCATTAATTTATATTCCTTGGTGGTATGTACGTACCCGATAGTTGGTTTAAGCTTAGATTAATTGTTTCGAGTGCAGATAAGTTGAAGATAGCAGCCGGTATGATACCCGAGAAGCTATTACCGTACAATTTGATGGTTTGAAGTTTAGCAAGGGACCCAAACCACGAAGGAATGGTTCCCATAAAGCTGTTGTTTCCAAAGTTAATCACCTTCAACCTGCGCAAACGAGACAGTTCTTGCGGTAGGGGACCATGAAAGCTATTATTTTGAAGGCCCAACTCAACAAGAAATGAGAGGTTGCCTAGATGCGGAGGAATAACTCCAGCAAGACCCATGTGCGAGAGATTTAAGGCCGTGACTCTGTGGTGGCGAGCACCGCAGGTAATGCCAACCCAGTTGCAAATGTTGGTATTGGAGGCAGAGGACCAGTTGGCGGTCAAGATGTTTTGAGGGTCACTAGTGAGGTGAGCCTTGAGAGCAAGAAGCGCAGACTGATCTGTGCTGAAATTGGTATGAGCTATTGCTAATGCACCTGCAGTTAAGTAATTAGCCATAATCATCATATAGATATAACACAAGCAGTGTATCATCGACAACATTTTTGATTGTAGTAGTTTTCGTCTTTCGGTTTAAATTTGATAGAAAACTAGAACTCATTACATTCACATAAATAGAGAAATAAGTTGGCGTTACCAAAACTTGTGAACGACCTAAACTTGCCCGACTTCTATGTAAAGGTGAGGAGACTTAGACTTTTTAACGTATCAAACACACACCATTCATTTTTGGCTGATAGCGTAGGTAGGTGAGGAGGAATGGTGACTGCGATGTAAGAGAGATTCAAGGCCGCGAATTGAAGGTGGCGTACCAACCCGGTTGCAACTTGCAAGTGAGCAATTAATGCTCACTTGACCATCAAAACAAATAACATATTGAAAATACTAGTGGGTAATGAATGCCACAGTATTAAAACAAACAACATGTTGAAAATACTAGTGGGTAATGAATGCCACAGTATTGAAAACCTTGTCACAGCATTGAAAACCTTGGCAGAATATTGATATGTGGAGATCATTTGTCAAAGGTGTGGTGTAAATATTCAAAATGTAATAATACGGAGTTGCTTTATAAATAGAGCACTCCGACTGCTATCAATCTATATAGAAGAAGAGAACGAGAAAAAAGATCAATAACATCATCATTTCTCCGTCTTTTATTTGTTATCCTCTTGTGCTAAGGTTTCAGTGTGACATTTTACACCTGCTTTACTCCATTCACTAAAAGGTTATTTCTCTAATTTTGACCTATTTATAACACGTTATCAGCACGAGTCTCTAAATATAATTATTCTCTCATTTCTCTTCGCCGAACGAAAGAAAGAAAAAATGTTTCCTCTAAGGTTTTTACTGTTCATCTTCTTCCTCAGCCTCAATTGCACGGTATACCCTTGCGACGAACTGTTTGCTCCATGCCTGCTCTTAGTTCTCAACCTATCGGTTACATACAGTTTTGATTTCTTGTTTGGTTTAGAGATTGATTACTAACCCAGTATTTATTTATGTTAATTTTACTGCAATCCAAGATGGTGCGGTACAACCGCCCATCTTGAACTGCAAATTTATTTTTACTGCGATCCAAGATGGTGCGGTATCATCGCCTATCTTGGACTACAGATCTAATTGGACTGCAAATTTTAGGTGGAGCGGTATAATCGCCCACCCTACCCTGCATATTTCAATTTGCCTGCTGTTTAATTTCATTGCAATTTTAGGTGGTGTGGTATAATCGTCCACACTGCTCTGTGTATTTAAATTTTCCTGCTACTTGATGTGAAAATTAACTTGACACACAAATAAACCCTATTTGTGACAATTGTAATAGATATGTAAGTAGGGATTGTTCTAAACCGGGGATTAACTAGGGATGCTAATCAATATAAATAAGACTCAAAAACACTAAACTAGACTCTATAGACTCAAAATTAACTTAAGACACTTAAAACAGCAACCAACAATAAAAAAGACTCAATTCTAGACCTAACAAGTCATTTGGACGAAAATAAGACTTAACTTGACTCAAAAGACTCAAAGAAAACAGATTTTGACTCAAATAATAAGACTAAATGAAAGGGGAATTGTTTTTGACGAATTTAAAACTTAAAACATAAACTTTGTAGAAAACACTTTGTAAAAACGAAATTAGGTGAATTAAATGGGTGAAAGGCTAGTTAGAGGGTCCTTCTCCACACATGATATATGCATATAAACCAATTTCCAGTTATTTTTCCTTTAGACTATGAATGACAACGTCCCAAGTTAGTTGCATCGCACAACTAACCATCAGATTTTCCTTATTTCATTGAATTAGATGGAATACGCATCTAAACCAAATTATCTTTCTCAAGTTCCCTATATGAAACGCATGATAGAGATACATGTCAAAAGTCATTAAGTTCTATGAAAATCATAAGCATTGATAAGGCATTCATCACTATGAAACGCATGAGACTCATACCAAGGATTTACTTAACACGATTGTGACTAGCAACCTCCACTACTGTGAATATAAGTGAATAACTATTACGTGAAACCCCCTTATACTCTAGCATCAAATTCATGCATGCAAATTAAGTGTCGACCCCCAACCCACATACATAAACAAGTTTTAATAACTTAGATAAGCAAATCACATTCATGCCTTAAGAAACAATAACTGGACGTAATCAATTCATATAAAACATATAGCTTTGAATTCACCTCTAACTAAAAAGAAATTAGTTCCACATGTTCATCATAATTGAAAACCAAATTAATATAAACATTGAACTAAAACTAAGGATAGAATAAACCTAGAAACACTCCACACTCCAATGGCAGATTTCAAACACTCCAAGTCTTCTTCTCCTTCCTTCCTTGCTTGCGGCACTAGGGTGATGTGGTGTGAATTATGGTGTTTGATGGCTGAATGTGTGAATGAATGAATGAGTGAATGGATGGGTTGAATGGTGCGGCATAGGGTTGTATTTATAGGCTAGCACAATTTCTGAAGGAAAAGGATTGTACAATCCAATAGGAAAAGGGTTAAGTCTTTGTAGAAACCAAAAGGGAAAGGGATAGGGAATTTTCGCCAGAAATTAAGGGCTTCTAGAAACTAGGTATTTTGTGGTAGAAATTAGACTTCTAGAAGGGATAAAGGGCAGATTTTTGGACCTAAATGGATAAGGACTCACGGCATAGGTGTAGGAAAGGGATTACAACTCCTAAACCTGCAAGGAATGGCCTATATGCGGCATGCACAAGGATTAGGCTTTTAGAATCTAAGTTGTGTGTTTAAATGTATATCTAATCCCTTCAAAATAGCTAGATTTAAGGCACAACCTGATTTGGATAGGATAAGATAGGATAATGTTAGATTTAGGAAAGGATAAGGTTGGTTAGGATAGGAAAAGATAAGGTTCCTTATTTCTTGCTCTTTCCTTATCCTCTTTGTTTTTGAACTTCTTTCTCCAGATTTGTAACCTTTCCTAGCCTCTCTTGACTTCAATTTCGCCCATCCACTTTGCTCCATAGTTAAGCTATCCAATCCATGCCTAAAACTGCTCCAAATAGCTCCAAAATGCACTTTCTTGCTCCTTTTGCCATTAGGATCTAAAAACATACGAAAATAGCTTAAAAGACTATAATAAGTAGTAGTTAACTAACAAAATGTAAGGAAACAACATAGCTAAGTAGCATAAATATGCTCCTATCACTACTTGAGTGGTGTGGAATAATCGCCCATTCATGTTACATTATTTCAATGAGAATGGTGCGGTACAATCGCATTCCTCATTCACCCTGAAAATCTCGAGCCAGAAGTTTCGAGTGCTTATCATTTTGGCCTGAAGATCAAAGTGAAAAATTTGTAAGAACCAGAAGTTCTAACATTATATTCCTCTAGGAATACATATTATTGCAAGTTCTTACACATCTCATTTTCTTTCGGAAAAGAAAATGGCGAACTTGGCAAAGCTTGAATTTGCTACCCTGGATATTACCGAGAATAATTACCTTACCTGGGTACTGGATACCAAGATCCATCTGGAAGCAGGGAATCTTGGAGATACCATCAAGGAAGAGAGCAGCTCATCCTCTCAAGATCGGGCAAGGGCCATGATTTTCATTCGTCGCCATCTTGATGAGGCACTAAAAAGCGAGTACTTAACAGTTGAAGATCCGTTAGCTCTCTAGAATGCCTTAAGAAACATATACAATCACCAGACAACGGTGATTCTTCCAAGGGCCAGTTATGAGTGGACTCATCTGAGGATCCAGGACTTCAAGTCAGTGGCAGAGTACAATTCTACGTTGTTTAGAATTACCTCTCAGATGAAGCTCTGTGGGGATACTATTACTGAGGAACATAAGCTGGAAAAGACTTTCAACACATTTCATGCCTCTAACGTGCTCCTGCAGCAGCAATATAGAGCGCGAGGCTACACTGAGTACAACCAGTTGATATCTATGCTTGTAGTAGCTGAATAAAACAATGACCTCCTGATGAAAAACCATCATTCCCGACCTACTGGATCTGCATCATTCCCAGAAGTGAATGCTGCTTCTCTCGAAGTGAACACCACATCCTCTGGTGGTGATAATCATAAACGAGGACGTGGCCACAAGTGAGGTCGGTGGAACAGGGAAGGCAAGAACCATGGAGTTCAGTTTCACAACCAAGTTCCAAGACATAATTCAGGCCCAAGCTTCAAAAATGTGAATCGCCACAAAGGAAAGCTCATATGAACAATGCTCCCAGGAACTCTGAAGGAGCCTTCCATATGTATGGTGGCAATGGGCATTGGGCGCGTACTTGTCGTACCCTAAAACATCTAGTGGATCTGTATCAAGCATCCCTCAAGGAGAAGGGTGTTGAGACCAATTTTCTCGACCAGGCTAGACCAATGGATATACCTGATCCAGTGTTTGACTTATCAAGGCAGTTGAACACAACCCACTTAGATGTTCTAGACTTTATTGTGGAAAGGGGAAATGAAGTATACCGGTCCAATTGAATCATTGATGTACTTTTATTATGCTGAACTTGTAGTTTAAAAGCATTTCAGATTCAATAAAAGTGGCATGTAAATTTCTTGTTATAACTTGCTTTTAATTCTAATTCTCTTACTCAGAGAGCATGGATAAAAACTATGGTCATTATCAGAACATAAGAAATGGCAGCAATATTTGTCTTGCAGACTGCGCAACAATGCATACAATACTTCGTGATCGAAAGTATTTCTCAAGCATAATACTTACAAGAGTAGGGGTAACAACAATATCAGGACCTTTAGATGTAATTGAAGGCTCAGGGAAAGCCCAGATTATGTTACCAAATGGAACAATATTGTCCATACAGAATGCATTGTATGCTACTTGATCTACTTGAAATTTGTTGAGTTTCAAAGACATACGTTTAAATGGATACCACATTGAAACGAAAAGTGCAGAAAATGTGGAGTATCTATGCATTACCTCTAATGATACCCAGAAGCGTATATTGGAGAAGTTGCGTGGTTTGTCGAGTGGATTGTATTATACATACATAAGGACAATTGAATCACATACTATCATGAACCAGAAGTTCATTGATTCAAAGGTTTACATGCTTTGGCATGACCGTCTAGGTCATCCAGGATCTACCATGATGCGTAGGATCATTACCAACTCTAATGGACATCCATTAGTGAGCAGACACATTGCTATCTCAAATGATAACCCTTGCAAAGCTTGTTCTCAAGGGAAGTTGGTAATTAGACCATCACAACTAAAGGTTGATGTTGAATCCCCATCATTTCTGCAAAGAATTCAAGGGGATATTTGTGGGCCTATTCAACCATCCTGTGGACCATTTCGATATTTTATGGTTTTGGTTGATGCATCTACCAAATGGTCACTTGTTTGTCTCTTGTCTACTCGAAATGTAGCTTTTGCGAGACTTCTTGCTCAGATAACTAAATTACGAGCACAGTTCCCAGATTATCCCATTAAGTCAATCCGACTTGATAACGCTGGTGAATTTACGTCTCAAACCTTTGATGATTATTGCATAACATTGGGCATTGATGTTGAACACCCTGTTCCTCATGTCCATACTCAAAATGGTTTAGCAGAAGCATTGATCAAAGCGGCTTTAGTTAATAGCTCGCACTCTGCTTATGAAAACCAAATTGCCAGTCTCTGCATGGGGACATGCCATCTTACATGTTGCATCATTGGTTTGATTGAGACCTATAGCCAACCATCAATAGTCCTCAGTACAACTCGTGTTTAGACATCAGCTAAACATTTCACATTTACGAGTTTTTGGTTGTGCTGTTTATATGCCTATTGCACCACCGCAACGCACTAAAATGGGACCTCAGCGTAGACTGGGAATTTACGTGGGTTTTGATTCACCATCTATCATTAGATATTTGAAACCCTTGACAAGTGATATGTTTACAGCTCGTTTTGCTGATTGTCACTTTGATGAGACAGTCTTCCGGTCGTTAGGGGGAGAAAAGACTGTTCCAGAAGAACGGAAAGAGCTGACATGGGTTGTTCCCACCTTGTCTCATTTTGATCCTCGAAGCATTTAATTTGAAAATAAAGTGAAAAGTATCGTTCATCTTCAAAGTATTGCTAATCAAATGCCAGATGCATTTAATGATGCTATAAGAGTGACAAAATCACATATACTAGCTGCAAATGCACCTGCAAGAATTGATGTCCCTGTTGGACAAAATAAAGTGGCAGCGAATGATTCATCTGGTGCACGCCTGAAGCGTGGTAGACCTCCAAGTTCAAAAGATTCAACCCCTCGAAAGAGAAAGTCGAGGGTACAACTGAATCCAAATGAAATCATTCAGGAAGAGAAAATGAATGATAAATCTATAATTCATGATTCTGGACTTCCAGAAAAAGAAAATGTCCTTGATGAGACACATGTCCCTGAAGAGACAGAAGTACATGAAAGCAAAGAAATCTCCATAAATTATGCATGTATGAATGAATTGTGGGATCAGAATGAAATAATCATCGATGATATGTTCGTATTCGCAGTAGCCACTGAAATCATCTTAAGTGATGATATTGAGCCTCGCTCTGTTGATGAATGCAAACAGAGACAGGATTGGCCTAAGTGGAAAAATGCAATCCAGGCAGAATTAAATTCCTTGGAAAGGCGGAATGTTTTTGGACCAGTAGTCCAAACCCCACCTGGTGTAAACCCCGTGGGTTACAAATGGGTATTCACAAGGAAACGCAATGAGAAAAACAAGATTGCAAGATATAAAACACAACTCATTGCACAAGGCTTTTCTTAAAGACCTGGAATTGATTATGAGGAGACATACTCTCCTGTAATGGACGCAATTACGTTCCGTTACTTAATAAGTTTAGTGGTTTCAGAAAAACTTGACATGCAACTTATGGATGTCATCATTGCGTATCTATATGGAGAATTAGATAATGGCATATATATGAAAGTCCCAAAAGCACTTAAGTTGCCTGAAACAAGTAACAAACCACGAGGTATGCTCTCGATCAAATTAAGGCGATCATTGTATGGGCTAAAACAATCTGGACGAATGTGGTATAATCGTCTCAGTGAGTATTTGATCAAAGAAGGGTATATCAACAATGTCATTTGCCCTTCTGTGTTTATTAAGAAATCCAATTCTGGATTTGCTATAGTAGCAGTATATGTTGATGATATGAACCTAGTTGGAACTCCTTAAGAGCTCAATAAAACTGCTGAATATCTGAAAAGCGAATTTGAAATGAAAGACCTTGGAAAAACAAAATTTTGTCTTGGCCTGCATATCGAGCATTGTGCTAGTGGAATTTTGGTCCACTAATCAGCTTACATTGAAAAAATTCTGAAGCGATTTGGTATGGACAAGGCTTATCCACTCAGCACACCAATGGTCGTTCGTTCTTTGGACATTAAGAAAGATCCATTTCGTCCAAAAGAAGATGATGAACTAGTCCTTGGTCTAGAAGTACCATATCTGAGTGCAGTAGGTGCTTTGTTGTATTTAGCAAAATGTACTAGACCAGATATAGCTTTTTCAGTTAACTTGTTAGCAAGGTATAGCTCTGCTCCAACAATTCGCCATTGGAAGGGTATCAAATATGTATTGCGATACCTTCGTGGGACAACTGACATGGGTCTCTTCTACTCAAAGAACTCCATAAATGACCAGGTCCTTGTTGGATATGCAGATGCTGGTTTTCTCTCTAATTCGCATAAAGCCCGCTCACAAACTGGATATGTGTTTAAAAATGGAGATCCAACAATCTCATGGCGCTCAACCAAGCAAACATTAGTTGCTACATCTTCAAATCATTCAGAAATACGTGCTTTACACGAAGCAAGTTGTGAATGTTCTTGGTTAAGATCAATGATCCATCATATCCGGAATTCATGTGGTCTAACTTCGAAGACAGACAATCCAACTGTCATCCATGAAGATTATGCAGCATGTGTTGCCCAAATGAAGGAAGGATTCACCAAGGGCGATAAGACTAAACACATATCTCCAAAGTTTTTCAGTGCACACGAGCTTCAGAAGGCTAAAGTTATTGAAGTTAAACAAATCCGTTCTAATGAAAATTTGGCAGATTTGTTCACCAAATCTCTACCAAAATGCACGTTTCAGGGGTTAATGCAAAGCATCGGATTACGTCGACTTACCAAACAGCTAAATTTGGTGAATGCGGAATCAGGGGGAGATACATATCAAGGGGGGCACCCATGATACATGCATGTTGTACTCTTTTTCCTTCGATTAGGATTTTTTCCATCGGGTTTTTCCTATCAAGGTCTTAACGAGGCAACGTAAGCATATTTAACACTATATCAACAATCCAGGAAAAGTTGTACTCTTTTTCCTTCACTATGGTTTTTTCCCACTGGGTTTTTCCAAGCAAGGTTTTAACGAGGCAACTGATGTTGATATGTGGGCATTCAAGGGGGAGTGTTGAAAATACTAGTGGGTAATGAATGCCACAATATTGAAAACCTTGCCACAGTATTGAAAACCTTGTCACAACATTGAAAACCTTGGCAGAATATTGATATGTGGAGATCATTTGTCAAAGGTGTGGTGTAAATATTCAAAATGTAATAATACGGAGTTGCTCTATAAATAGAGCACTCCGACTGCTATCAATCTATATAGAAGAAGAGAACAAGAGAAAAGATCAATAACATCATATATTCCTCCGTCTTTTATTTGTTATCCTCTTGTGCTATAGTTTCAGTGTGACATTTTACACCTGCTTTACTCCATTCACTAAAAGGTTATCTCTCTAACTTTGACCTATTTATAACACAACACCATAAATTTCGAGATTGATATTTAATGATGACATACATTTTGATTCAAATGCAAATGCAAATGCGACCAAACACATGACAGTTACATTCTTCCGGATGAAATGTTTTTGACGATGTTTACATATAATCAAGCTCTAGTTGAACACTCTTCGGATTCGAAAATCATCTAAACTTGGCTAATTAGTTTTTCTGAACAGAACAAAGCAAAGATGATACGCAAACGGTCCAAGAATTACGGTCTTATGCTTCTAAATTATTAATCACGATCGCATGTACAAATTCATTGCAGCCATAACGAAGAAGGGAAGTAACAACCAGAGGTTGAAAACTAGTTCAGATACGTACATACACCATCATGCAGACTTGCCGGTGGAGACGCTCTGAATATGCAAAGGCTTCTTATATGAATGCAACAAGAGAGAACATACTACACTTAGAGATGAAGCAGGCATGCACCTGCAAGCCACGGTGGTAATCGAATTCCGGTGAAGGGGAACAAAACTCCAGCCGCCACCGGCATGCTGAGGATATTGTAGCCCAGGGCCCAGACATAATTCAATCGAATTCAAGACATGGTCTTTCTAGAGAGATCAATGGCTGTAACTACATCTTCCAAGTTGCTCTTCATCAGAACTATAAGCAGCTTCTATAGCTACGTCGGTGCCAGCACCAATTGCCATGCCAACATCCCCTGCAACCATAGCCGGAGAGTCATTAATTCCATCTCCCATCATTGCCACCGCCATTCCTTTCATCTGCATCCAAATCCACTTTAACAAGTCAGAGAACACTATGTAAGATAGATATCAAATATCAAGTCAGAAACAAACTTAATATAGAAAATGAGTTTGAAGATTTCTATAAGACATTATTTTACCCTAGATAAGTCATTTGAAATATAATTTAGTAATCCTCAATCTGCGTTCAAAACCAGAACAAAGTTACTTGTGGAGCTGGGTAATTGTAATCCACTCACACCACCCCTGTAACTATTATATAATCGTACCTGTAATTCTTTGATTCTATCAGCTTTTCCTAGTGGATCCGTCTCAGCATACACCTTGTCAATGCCAACCTCCATCGCACTGGTTGCGCTGTAGCCCAGTTATCACCAGTAACCATGATGCTTGTAATGATTATCGAGTGAAGATAAGAGATGACTCGTGCAGCCTCCAGCTTCACTGGATCAATCACAGCAAAAGACCCAGCAATCTTTCCATCAAAGGAAACCAACACACACGTTCGAGCCAGATTACATGTTCTGAAACAAACTTGTCAACCTCAGGACCAACCTGGACATTATTGACTACCACGGGTTTCCCAACTGTCAGAGTCCCTGTTTCATCAAAAACAACCGTTTTCACTGGCAGGGATCAAACACGTCCGTAAACGTCCCGACACCAATAAAGTGTCAAACACTAAGAAACGTATCAACCTTCCCGAATTAGGTACCGTTTGTTGAGCTTTTAATTTTGGAAAGAACAAAAACCCCAAAAAGGACGAAACAATTATTAGCCTTGTTATAAAAAAAGGAGTTGGGGTAAAGAGAACTCTCCTTCAATAAGAGCTGTCCTCTACAAGAAATGGGGATTTAAAACTTGGCGAATACGGCTTGGTGACATGGACAAGGTGCATACAGCCATCAATCGTCCAGAACCAAAGGGTCATATGAGACAGATTCCAACTATGAAATAATAGTTGCATGTTCAATCCCAATATATGCAGAAAGAACATCCTCCATACCCAATGACATAGATTGCATTTAGTTTTATGTCAAGAGCCTAAACGTTGATCAAACTGAGGCAGAGCGTTTTACTGGTCAGGAATGAAGTGCATAACTTGTTATAATACGGAACATTAACATAATGTATGGTGGTAGCACAGGGGATAATATGAAATGACCAGAACAATATGAGGAGAGCAACTTCATAATGGAGGAAAGACGAGAAAAATAAGAACTACACTTGCACCCTCAAGACATATAGAGAACGTATCTAATCAGAAATTGTTCCTAAACCACAACAAACAGGTTTTCGACGTCCTCGGAAGGAAAAGTAGGAACAAGTATAATGAAGCAACTAAACACACCAGCAAAAACAACATGAAAATAAAATGCATGAAAACCAGATTCTAAATTAAAAAAGAAATTTGTTTCCAAGGATAAGGTGGTCTTACCTTATAAGCCCTTTCAAGTACGCTACCAAAAATGCCGCTGCGGGGACTGCTAGAAGTATGATCTTGTACCATCTGATTTCTTTTGCTATTCCTAGTTCTTTTTGGCATCATGTGCAAAACCAAATTGATAGCTAGGAAGACAAAAAGAAAACACCTGCATAAATTAAATTTTCCATCACCCCTATATTATAATTAAATAAAGCAAAACACAATAATCATCTCACAATTAAAGAAGCAAGGACTTTCAAATGCCCCAGTTATTTAACAACTACTATGCATAATTCTTAAAAAATAAGTATAAATTAACCTCTTTTGAAAAATGAAGGAAGAAAGATGAAAGCTTAAACCAAGGAATATAACTATGTTGAACTCAATTATTTGACATTAATTACACAAACCCAATTCCATATATATAGCCAGACAGAAGCTTTATCCTAGAGAGAAACCATGCCCAAATGATTATAGAATCTCCAGACTGAGTGTGAATTCAGAGCACGAAAGGGAAGTGTGTTCCTTGGTTCCCACATTGTAGAGACTACATCTCAAAACTTTGCCAAGCATTACAGGAAACCATGGAAAGATTAAAAATGACCGCAAAGATTGCAAAACAATTAACCACAGGTGGTGTTTATATGCCCACTGAGAGAAAAAAAAACCTTCTGCAAGTGAAAAAACAGGCATGTACCATCTGAAAGAGCCTCTTGTATCCATTCCAATTATACTTATGTCTACCATATCCCTCTACAATTCCCCACCACCAATCGACCATAGCTGATTTCAATACCCTTAGCTGCTAGACCATCTAGTGACACCTAACTGCGACCAAAATAAAAGACATGATCAACACCATACAGATTACAGACTAAGCTTAAAAACAACTGTTATCTATTAAGCAAAACTTGAACTCCTTGACATTGCAACCTCTTAATCCAGGATGCAGAGTAGAAAAGCAAAGTTATTGACAAACCGAAAAATAACAATTTAACTTGCATAGTAAACGAATATTAGTAAAGTTACACAACTCAATGGATTACATATACCAGTAAAAAAGTGAAACTTCAGTGTTTGGGAAGTTACCTTATTTGAAATGTCAGGAGCATCTGCTGTACATACAAGGTAGACAGTTCTTGAAATGTCAAAATAAAATATAAAATAAATTTAAAATAAATTTTAGGATAATTTACAAGTTTGCCATAAATTGGGTTTGTTCACTCGGCCCAAATTCTTGGGCTGTGTTAACCTTCACCCAAAACCCGGCCCAAAGTCAAGTTATTTTCCCTCATCCGTGACCCACGCCCTTTTTCCTCATGCCGGCAATCAGCCTCACTCTCTCTCTGTAACATTCGAACTCCCTCTCTCTCTCTCTCTCTCTCTCTCTCTCTCTAAGCTCCGAGAAGGAGACCATCATCACCCACGCCATTTCCGTCCAAATCAAACCCCCAAACTTCTACCTTCGAGACCTGTGGGACATAAGGAATTAAATGGTGGTTTTGCATGCACCATTGGAGCACTGTGAGGTGTTCTTCCATGGAGTCCGAGAGCTTTAAGCTCTACTTCGAACTCAGGTGAGGTTTTCCTTCCAATCTATAAGTTCTGGGTTATTTTCACGGTGGTGATGTGTTGTATTAATGTTGAAAAATCAAGGATTAAATCCTGTCATTTCCTCTGTGCATGCCATATATATGTGATTAATTCCAGAATCTGACGTAGTTCGAAACGAATTCCGGCCACCTTCGACACGGTTAATCTTGTTGTGGTTCTAAACTAGGTACATTGGTGGGAAGTGGCATCACCGTGGCTAGTTGAGCGGCTCCCGGGCAAAGGAAAACTTGTGAGTGGACCCCTTCATAACTTGCATGGTTTTATAAATCTTAGGGTTGCATGCATATTTTATTTCAGAGTTGCATATGTTTTAAAATATGTTTGATGAAATTGCATATCTTTGATATTTGGATAATTTACTAGTTAACTAAATTGCTTATGGAATATTTTGGATATATTCGGTTTACATTATATTAAGGGTTATAAACTATTGATTGATACGTATGATTCTCCAGTGGATTTGTGAGGAGGTACTATTTTACAGGGTTTTGGAACTTTTGAATCTTTACAATTTGGCATGCGATTTGAGTTATGTTTTGGATACATATCTAGTGGGTTGTCATACAGCACATCCACACAACACAGGTATTATATGTCTATGGCCATAGGACACATCGATGAGGAGTGAGATATATGTTATACCCCAGCTTCACTGCCGAAAGCAGTGTCGGACAGCTTCACTAGCCACGGCTAGTGTCGGTGTGAGATGTTATAAAGTTTCTTCTCTGGCGTAACTTGGAGTCGTACAGCTTCACCTTCGGGTGATGGGGCCTACCATGTTTCTTCACTGACGTAACCCAGGGTCGTATAGCTTCACCTTCGGGTGATGGGGCCTACCATGTTTCTTCACTGACGTAACCCAGGGTCGTATAGCTTCACCTTCAGGTGATGGACAGGTACTGCCTTTGGGCGACTATGTACCCCTAGAGAGTATAATTTTATTAAGAGTTATGGATTTGCCTTCGGGCAGAGGTTTTACAGATTTGCCTTCGGGCGGTTTTACTACCATCTTCAAATATCATTTAACACATATATGTTTTCCTAATGAATGCACAACATGCTAGAGTTTTCAAGAAACCTACTACGTAGTATTATATATGTTTTGAAAACAGGGGGTTATTATGTTCAGAATTAAAATGGTTTTTGGTATTACTAGTATTAATATAAATTATGGTCCATTCACCTTTTTTGTTTTGCGCCCCCTCAGGGTTTAGATTCGAGGTATAGGATCCCGCCATCAGGACCAAGACACTTTGGCGTAGTTATTCTCGAGTCTTCTCAGTATAGGTATCATTTTTGGGTTGGTATAATTTCCTAGTAATTTTCCCACATTATTCTTAATAGATGTATGCTCTGAATACGTTCTTGCTTTGATATAATTGTTCTAATTGCATATTTGTTTTAATTGTATGCATGTTTAAAATGGCTTCGTCGCCCTCGGATGTCGGCCAACACGTATCGGGGTTGGGGCGTGTCAGGTTTATCAAATTCAAAGCAAAACCTACATATATTCTGAAGGTTCTAGAGTTAAAAGAGGAGCAAGGAGGTTTGGTTACGGAACCCAAAACGCTATTTTAATGAGCAAATTTATATATACTAAAACCCAAACCGGGTGGTACTATTCTATAACAGTGTTTTGACGTAATTGCCCTTCGCTGCTGCTGAGTCTGAGGCTTTTTTCCCTGTTTAGAACAGTGAATTTACAGCTTTGCCCTCATTTGGTCCTATCTGCTGCTTATGCTTGGCTTCGACTTTGTTTCGTTTTGTTTTTAATGGGTTGTGTTTGTTTTTGCTACAGTTGCAGCACAGTTTTGTCAAGCCCACGTGTTGGTCATCGCGTGGTACTTTGATGTTGTTGTTAGCTTTTTGTACAGTAAAATTACACCAGTGCTCTTTGTTGGTTGTCTTTGACGGAATTGGACTGCATTTCACTTTTTTTTTTTTTTGTGGTTGTGTTTGTTTTTGCTACAGCTGCAACACAATTTTGTCAGGCCCACGTGTTGGTCATCGCATGGTACTTTGTTTGGGTTTTGTTTTGTTCCGTTTTGTTTCCTCTCATTTTCAACTTTGCTTCACTATCGCTTTCACCCGTTTTGTTTCCTCAAATTTTCGTGTTGTTGCTTTCAGTCGGTGTTTTGTGCGATTCTGCTGCCTGTGGTTGCTCGGAAAATACGAAATCAATGTAAGGTTTTTATTTACACCCTGCGAAGACATCTGTGTTTAAGGTGACAAGTTTTGAAATTATGTGCTTTTAATTCGAAGGATAGTGTGCTTGCTTATTGTTAATTATTTTTATTTCATTTTGAATTTGTTAGTTTATCTTTTGTGCATCTGAGTATATGATTCGATGTTTTAGACTGGATTTTTGTGGTTTTGAGTTTGTGGGTTTTTTTGGGTGCGTGAGAAGATGTTATCCAATGGTTTGATTCAACATTTTTCCTCGATTTGTTGCAACTTTGCTGTCCATGTGCCCTTGTCAAACTTTGGTTTTTTTTTATTTTTCTGTGTTGCTTTTGTAAAATTGAAGTGGGAGTTTGACGGATGTTGATGAATCCCGCAGTTTATCGGCAAAGAGAACAACACCTTTTGTAATGTTTGTAGTCATTTACCCACATATTCATAAAGTGGTGTTATTTTTATGGAGGATGGTTGTTAATCTTTTGTATTGTTAATTTTGCAGCGTGTGGGTTGCTCGGAGACCACTGGGTTATGCTTTTGTTCACTTGGATCACAGTAGAGATGCAAATGATGCAATTGGTGAATTAGATGGTATGTTTAGTATTTGACTATTGATTTTTAATATGGGGTTTTCTTAGTTTATATCATTCGAATCCAGCATAAGGGAGAAGCATAAGTTCATCGGTAGCATTGTTTGTGAAGCAGCATAATTAGATGGTATCTATTTTCATATGCATATTTCAAAATCTTCCTTATACAACCTGTGATTTTTCACAAATTATACATGTTCAACTAGGTCTAGGTTTCTTCTTTATATAATGTGGTTGCCACCTTCGTTGGAATTTCTTCACTTTTTGATATGTGAGATATCTCAATCAAAATAATGCTCATCATATAACGTATAATTTAGTAGAACAATATTGATATCATTGCTTGAGTTGTGAGCATTCTGTTTTCCTCTTCTAGAATTGTGACTTGCGGTCTTGCTTTTTATGATTCACTGTTTTATTTTTTATGTCAATCCTTTACTTATGCATTAATGGGTAACTCTTTGGTTATGTTTTTTGTTGAGCTTTTTAATTAGCCCAGGCTAGCTGTCCATTCCTAATGGATGGGTTTGGTTTCTAAATTAAAATTGTAGTTTCTAACTATGACATCTAAGAAAAGTAGTCTTTTTTTTTTCTCCTTTTCAACTTATTAAACATGATTTCCTAAGTGTTTATGTTTTTAATTTGTCTGTTTGCAGTGTGGGAAAATTTTTATTATCTCCTTGACTCTACAGTTTACTGCCTGCACACGTGTTTGACATTTTGTTCCACTTTTGGTAAGTGATGTTTGTTCTTTGTAATATGTGGTTTCTTTTTGAGTCTTCCCTTTTGAATCATTGCTTTGCTGCTTTTATCAAACGTTCCCTATTTGATAATAATGTTAATTCAGGTTTAACACCTTATATTATTTTTGAACTTAAATAAGTTCACAGTATTAGATTGTTAGTGGGGGTTCAATTCAAGATCACAATGCAATGTGCTTTGTTCTACAATTGTGTTCAAACATTTTGGATTTCTTTCTTTATTTATAGATTTGCATTAATATTGTTTGTTGTCAAGTTAGTTCTCTTCCGTGCACATCGATATATAAAGCTTGAGATTTAGGTTTTCAATCATGTGATCCTCAAATGCTTTATTAATTAGTTGGTTAATTGTCTAGTGATCATTTGGGGCTATAGAATATTAAATTTGTTGTCGATGCTTTGAAATTTAGCTGAGTACCATGGATACCTGATTGTTTCAAATTTGTGTTTATTTCCGCTTCACATTAATGTAAAGTTATATTTATGGAAGTAAAAAAAAACAACAGTTTACACCCATGCCACCTGACAAACATAGTTGTTTTTTATTTATTTCTTAACTTATTAAAACTAACTTAGTAAGTGTTTTTCTTTTTGGTTTATGCATTTGCAGTGTGAGAAAGTAATTGATTATATCTGCTTAACCCTGCTTTTCCCTTTTGGTACAAGTGCTTCAGATTTTGTTGTACTTTTGGTAATTGATTATTTGGTTTCCTCTTTAGTTTGCTTTTTCCAACTATTGTTTTACTGCTTTCATAATGTGTTAAGTGTTTCATAATAGTTATTTTTTGTCATAGGTTAATTTATGATCATTTGTTTTACTATCCTAATATGAAATGTTTTTTTTTTTTTTGTCAAATTTAGTTCTTTAATTACTTTTGGTTGGCTTATTTCTTTTCTAAGTCCTTTTTATTTTTGGAATTTTGAGTTTATATAGTG